CTTACCCTGATAGTACCTCAGAGTTCATCTTAGATACAGATGCTAGTTTGACAGGTTTAGGTGCTGTTCTATCTCAAGTGCAAAATGGCGAGGAGAAGGTCATTGCTTATGCTAGTAGGACTTTGAATAAATCCCAAGTCAGATATTGTACCACTTATAAGGAGTTATTGGCAGTAGTTACTTTCATTCGCCTGTATAGACATTTCCTTTGGGGTAGACATTTCACGGTTAGAACAGATCATGCTTCCCTTGTGTGGTTGAAAAACTTTAAGAATCCAGAAGGAATTTTGGCTAGGTGGCTTTCAGTTTTGGAGACTTATGATTTTTCCATTCAACATAGGCCAGGGAAATTTCATTGCAATGCTGATAGTTTGTCAAGAAGGCCTTCCAGTTATTGTAAGCGTGAGGATTGTCCTGATTGTCATTTTGGGGATTGTGTGGATTCTGGTGGTCGAACAGGTGCACCGAAGCAATTGGACAGCATATTATTGTCCTCGGCCGCTAAGGTTGCTCCTGTGAGAACCGACCAATGGTTCAACTCGGCGGAGTCAGGGTCCCACAATTCTGTTGATGACAATGGTGATGATAGTTGTGATGTTGTACCTAACTGGTTGGATACTTGGTCAGTTGATCAGTTGAGAACTTGGCAACAAGAAGAACCTGCAATTAGGCAAATAATTAGGTTAAAAGAAAATTCCATTGTTAAACCCCCTAGGCATGTTGTTTTGGATGCTTCTCCTGACTTAAAAACTTATTGGGGATTATGGGAATCTCTTGAAGTCAAAGAAAACATGTTGTATTACAAGTGGAAGTCATTAGATGATAAGGAGTTTTTGTTGTTGATTGCTCCTAGACACATAAGATCTCAGATATTTCATGAGCTGCATGAGAATAAAACTGCTGGTCACTTAGGTAGGGAACATACCATTAGATCCATTAAGCGTAGGGTATATTGGCCTGGTATGTCTTCAGACATTAAACGTTGGTGTAGAGAGTGTGATGTTTGTGCCCGAGCAAAAGCTGGTCCAGGTCTTGGGAGGTCATCTCTTCATCAATCAGTCATAGGTGCTCCTTTAGATAGGTTAGGAGTTGATATTTTAGGTCCTTTACCCAGAACAAGTAATGGTAATGAGTACATCATAGTTCTCTGTGATTATTTTTCTAAGTGGGCTGAAGCTTATCCAGTACCTAATCACACAGCTTTGACAGTAGCAGATAAGATAGTTAATGAATTCATCTGTAGATTTGGTGTCCCTAAACAGATTCACTCAGACCAAGGTCGCGAGTTCGAGTCGGAACTATTTTCTGTCTTATGTGAGAAGTTAGGCATTGAAAAGACACGTACTACTCCATATAGGCCACAGTCTGATGGTTTAGTTGAGAGGATGAATAGGACACTTTTGCAAATGTTGTCAGCTTATGCAAATAAAAATAGGGATAATTGGGATGACAATATACCCTTTGTTCTTATGGCATATAGGTCAACCATTCAAGAAAGTTCAGGTTGCTCACCAAATTTAGTCATGTTTGGCCATGAAATTATGAGCCCAGTTGATCTTATGTTAGGAAATCCTCCTTCTTCACCTATCCCCACTTGCCCTGTAGAATATGTAGAGTGGTTAAGAATAGTTTTATCTGATTCTTACAATTTTGTGTCAGAAAATCTTAGGCAGGCAGCATCAAAACAGAAAAAGTACTATGATAGGGGATTAAAACCTAGAGAGTTTACAGAAAATGACTTTGTCTGGAGGTGGTATCCACCCTCAGCTGGTGTTAAGTTAGGGTTAGGATGGACAGGGCCATATAAAGTTATCAAGAAGATCACAGATGTAACTTATCAAATTCAAAAAGACAGTAAGAGCCCTCTCATTGTGGTACATGTAGATCAGTTAAAACCCTATGAAGGCATTTTACCTCATGGAAACTGGACACCAGTAGTTACTTCCCTTGACGAGTCATTAGAACCCCCTGTAGATCATACTCCTGTAGATTTTAATGATCAAGAGGAAGTTGAGGAGACTGTTCCTCCTGTTTTTAATTTACCTAGTCCTGAACCCCTTAGACAGTCAAGGTGGGGTAGAACAATCAAACCCCCTGTTATCTACTCTCCTTGAGACCAGGCATGTATCTAGGCATTTTATTTTTTTTATTTTTTTAAATGCCTATGTAAATAGTTATTTTTATTTTTGAATTCTATATATAACTTGATATATAAAAGGTTTGAGTTGACCTTTTGTAGTGATAACAAGTGATATTTAATTTTTGAAATATCTCAGTCTAGTTTTAAGAGTAGATTTTAATTACTTTATTAATGAGGTAGTTTTTGGTAGTCATTTATTTTCTTTTGAGAATAGCATTCAAGTTAGCACTGATTTTGTCTTTAGTAGATACAAGGTCAATGATAGTTGTTTTATTTATCTGATAAGACACAGTAGTTGGCAATGATTTATAGTTATCTAGAAGTCAAAACAGTATATTTCAGTTCTTTCGGCTTATTCAGTAACAGTAATAATAGTTATGAATCATTGAGAGCTTGGTATTCCTAGTTTAATACTGACCGTAGATGATCTTTAAATTATCTCCCTTGTACTGTGCTGAAATCAACACTTAAGTTTTTCTTATAGTTTATCTATGGGAGGTGATGCATGGTCATCCCTTGTTAGGTTATGTTATAAGTATTTGCGCGCTACTTAATAACATATTTGGTTTAAATTCAGTGGATTCTGAATTTGGTAGATAACTATATTGATTAACTTTCCATATTTATTCTGATATTATTTAAAGTCTTAGAATTTAAGATTTTAATTTTAAAAGTTATTTTTCATAGAGGTAAATTGACTTCAAAACTTGCATTGATGGTGATTGATTTGCTTAAATACTTTTCTAATCCTTGTTATACAATTTCTCGCACAAGTTTACAGCTGATGTTCTTAGAAGAAGACGATACTGAAGAGCCGCAATACTCTCTTTATACACCAGGACCTTGTGTTGTGCCTGATGAACGATCGCGATGAAACGAGATACTAGACCATGACAGTTGTGTGACCACTGGATCCGCACTGTGTTACCATTCCCGGAACTCCCAGAGGACCTTGTGTAGTGACAATGACATGAACATTTGTCTTGTGTTGAAACGAAAATTTACTGTGTAAATTTTGTTTTTTTTAAGGGGGGAGGAATGTAGTGGTTTAGATTTTTATTTCATAGCCATCGTTTCGTAATTCATTATTTACAAGTATTTGCTGGTATTTCAGTCTGATAATTCTATTTACCATTTGTTTTCAGTTGTTACTTACGTAAAAGTCCTTTATTATTTGTCTTTTATAAGTTAGGACATGAGTTGACATTCCACATGTTTTACTTTTTTAAACAGGAAGTGTCATCCATGTTGGCAGTCTTTCCGTAGTACTTTTGATACCTGCGTTCTGATTGGTTAATTTAGCTTTAGGATCTTTGATAGTCATTGGCTTTTATTTTGGGCCTTGTCAGGGTATTTAAACCCGTGTTCGTGTAGTTTTCTTCACTTGGGTTGGGGAACACAGCCTCATGGTTAGTTCCTCTTTTCTGTGCTAAGAAAACCTTATGGTTTATGAGCACTATTTGATTAGATACTTAGTGGACTAAGAAAACCTTATGGTTTAACAAGTTCTCTAGGTTTTGGCTTAGATTTAGTTTCACGTTTTTCACATGTTAGGAAACAGTTAGGATGTAGGGTATTTAAAGTAAATTTAGTTTCCCCTTTCCAAGTCCAGCCTGGTCTAGGGATATGTAGATAACAGGTTTATTTTCTAGAGCCACTATTTATTATTTATTTTTGGGTGTTGTTTATTTTCTGGGTTAGTTATATTTAGAGCCTAGAATTAGTATTGATATTTTCAGTTTAACTCTAGAGTGTTGGTAGTAGTCATATTGGGTGATGTAGCTCATTCCCTTTACATTTTTTTCATCTCTTTAGAATTTTTCACCTTTTTGATAAGTATGGTAGCCCAGTAGGGACATAGATTATTTTTCATAGTTTTGCCACATTCCTCCCATTTTTCATTATATTTTTCAATTATTTATTTATTGAGATTATTCATTGAGATTATTGAGATTCATTTTTCAGATTAAATTACATTTTTGATAAAGCTTCATTTATCCTGTGCCATTTTCAAAGACTTTTCTGTTTGTTAAATTTTGATCAATATTTATTATTTGTTATCATTTACAACGGTTAATTCTCACTTTATTAAATTGATAAAACTTACAACTGTGTTTTCATTTAGCGTTGACCATAGTTCAGAAATCCCCTTACCTGGGTTGATCATTGATAACTGGAGATAGTTTACTCCTTTAAGCCGAGTTGGCTAGTAACTTTGGTAATTTATACATTGAAGAGTTCTACTTCCGGTTACATATATATACATGCACATATGTGTGTGGTTAAATACATTATGAAGATGTAGCACATAAGAACTACATGTATTAATTTGGGTCTGAAATGCATTTAACATCTAAATAGTAAATATAATCATCAAAACATGAGCTGATCAAATCAATCAATTTGTCTAGTATGTTAACATGCATAATTAGTATACATGTATACTTTAGTCATGTTAAAAGAATGTATTTTTAAAACTTGTAAACATTCATTTAAATTATATAATTAAAATACAATTAAACATGATTGTATGGGATTTGAGAACCCTGATTTTTGATAATTAAATTTTCATATTTATTAATTACCATGATTACTTCAACAAACAATAAACGATTTCCATTTCGCATCTTTGGATTTTTTATGACCACTGCATCATTAAACATGTTAAATCAGAAGCTAAAAAATAGGATTTTATAGTAAAATCACTGCATTATAGTGATTATACATATACTAGCTAATATACAGACCCCCCCCCCCTTGTCTCACGGAAACAGCTTCAAAAATTAAGATATTAAACTGTAGTATTCTGATTATTTTTTTATTTAGATTAAATTATCTTAGGTAATATAAATTAACTTACCAGAACCTATAGGCACTAAAGTACCAAACTCGGAAACCATCCGCTTAGACATAAGAGAGTTGAAACTCCGATACGGCTTGGCATTTCCCTGGTGGTTAGGATACTGACAAGTGGTCTTGGCGCGCCAATGTAAACCAAGAAAGTCTCTGTGATAGGGACATACCGTAAATGTTTCCTCAACAGTGAAAAGTCCCACACGCTTACATATTAGGTCTGCTTCACTGAACACATCAGCCTCTCCTTTCATGCCAGATCGAATCCCATTTTTCAACAGATGTGATACAATACCTCTCTTACAGTCTTTTAATCTAATCAAATTTTTTTCTGATGGATGCAAAGGTGAAAAAGAACAGCAATTTGAAGCATAAACACTGATAGAACATTTTTCAATGGAGGCATCCATTACTGATGCCCTGTTGCATTATGGGAAATGGGAGATAACTCTTACAGTTAAATGTGAGGAAGGGGCTTAACTTTGGAAGCTGTATACTTGTTAGCATGAAGAAAACACATAAAATCAAGAATTCTATATAAAAGCATATACTAAGGTAAAAATATTTTTATCATGGAAAACTATATGTAATAATGTTTTTCTGTGTTTTATTGATACAAAAAGGATGAATTTTAATGATTTTATATAGGAATTTAACCAAATCCATCAATATAACTTGAGTGTAAATAACACAAATATACAAAAGAAATGAACTTTTTCTTCTTCAAATATTTAAATATGTTTAATTTGAATGAAAATTGAGAAGAAATAAACAGATTCCAAAATTAAAGTGTGTAACCCCTACATGGGACCCTGCCTGACTCTTACACGGAACAGTACTTAATTATTTATTAAATTACTCACAGGAATAAGGGTGGTGTCTCCAACACTATGAAATCACTATATACATGTACACCCTTCAAAAACCAGTTTTCAGAATAAGGGAAATTATTATAGTAATTCCCGCCAATTCTACCTTAGAACCAATCAACTACACTGACCAATAGAAATCAATGTCCCACTACATAATGGAATAACCCATTCACAACATTACCTGGTAGTCTACCTGGAATACAACACTTAACTAAATAGGGGTGTTTAGGTTTATAACAGGCACTGAACAAGACAACATAGAGTGTTAGTAAATCGCATTGCGCAGCGCTGAATGAAAGAGTGAATGACTGAATGAATAAAAAAATGAGAATAATGTGTACAATTTAAAATACATATCTTAAAAATATAATCAAAGTACTGAAAGTACTGATAGACGGAGGCTTGGTTTGTTTTTTGTGAATTCTTAATTCATAGTGTGAACCCAACAGTTGTCTATTGGTTGTTGCAAATGTGAAGATATTTTCAGCATTTACAAGCTTTAAGCAGTGAGATTTTTGTTTTTACTAGCATCTTTTGTGATATGAATCCTTGGTTTATGTAATATCATTCAAAGGAATAATCTTCTCATACATGTACATAGTAAATAATGATTAACTTTATAGGATATATTCAAACATTTAATAATGAGTAATAACTACAATCATAAAGCATCAAATATTTATTTCAAAAAAATCATTTAATTTAAGTACATGCAGAAGAACTATTCAATGAATCCCCAAAAGTGAAAGGCATTCAGCACATATAGAAATGGGGAAAAAGCATAGTATTGCAGGTAAAGAAACGAGTAACAAATTTAGAAATAGTGCATGGTAAAGAAAAAAAATAAAATAAATGAAATCCAAAGCTTACAAACAAAAAAGTATGAAATAATATGTACCCTGGTACAAGAAACTTTTATAATTTCACTTTTAGGCCTATGTGTAATTTATTAAATCAAAGAATATTTATTTTCAAAAGAAATTATGAAAAAGAAATCATTTTAATGATTGAACACAGAGACCAAAAGGCACATGATGTGTAATTTTAAAACTTATAAAAAAAATGTACCATAGTTAACACATAGACCAAATGGCACCTGGTGTAAAACTACAAAACTACTGTAAATTACTTTTTATTCGCGAGAACTTTTTTTCACGTAATTATGCAAGAGGGTAAACACTTCAAAATTTCATTGTATAATAGTATTCCTTAAGGTAATATAGAAAAACTCTAAGAATTTGGAAAATTATGTCTCGCTTATAAAGAGTCAATGACTATCTCACGAAAATAAGATGTTGCGAAAAATTTAGTAATCTGCAGTATTTAAAATCCTATTCCATAAAAAGTGTATTGTTTATACTGACGGTGGAATCAATGGATTTTAACATACATGAAAAAAAAATGCAATGGCCAAGGCAGAAATAGCATAATGAACAATAGCTATTAGTATATGTAGGTACTTGTTTGCATTTTTACAAGATTGAAATGAAATGCATGATAATGAATTAATCAAGTCAATGGCATAGTTTTATAGTACTACTCATTAATTATGTACATGTACAAAACTTTATCTTCACAATTTTCAATGGTATTTGTTACACTACTGTAATGCATCATTTCATTCCCCAAATAAACTAGTCTTTAACAGAATGGCAAATAAAATGGTTACATTTACATCCTAAAATCAGTACGATTCTAAAAAATGTTTTTATAAATATGTTATAAAGTTTGCTCAGAGTAAATGGAAAGATGTGACAGAACTTTCAATTGTCAAAAGTTGAGCAGGGAAGGGCAGTTTATTAATTATCAATTGTCGCAGCATCTTGGAGAAAGTTTTGCGCCTGGCCTCTTCTGTTGTAAAAGATAAAGTGTGAAGTCCTTATATTTGCTTTCTTCTCTAAAGTACATTTCACATGACACTTCTGAAACTGTTATTGGCTCAACCTCTCTTGTTACATCAATATCTCTCAGCTGAACCTTCTGCAATATATGATTATCATAATAATGTTCAACTCTCTCAGAAAGCTCCACAACATTTAAACAATGCACACATATAATAAAGTACAGTCAGTGTTTGGTATATGAGATATGCTGGGGCTTTTAAGATATATACTGAGTCCAAACATTGAGTTTACAATGTATAGAAAGTTTTATGAACTTTCGTTGTGTTTTGACATATGAATGGTATTTAAGGTGGTTATACTAAAAGTGTCAGGATTTTATTTGATACATGCATATACATATATGAGGGTTGTCCCAAAAAGTCGTAGACTTTGAAAAGAAAAATAGTTTCTATGTATTTGATATTTTGACATATTATAAAGATTTTGATTCTGATTCCACTGATTTAAGTTTTAGTTCAATGCCTTACACAGTAATACAAAAATAAAAGCAAATATAAAAGTTAATTGCTAAATTAGTTGCGTAAATTATTCTGAATTTTGTTCTTACCTTACCTTACCGACCTTCAAATAAATTGCCCTGAAATTATTGATGCAAAATTTGGTCTGTATTGGTTGCATGTTTAAAATGTTATATACATTGTCTATGAGTTTTTTGGACAACCCTTGTATACTAGTATATACATTATCTCATACGTCATTGCTAAGCTTCACTTTATCATTTGTCTACTTAATATCTCAAGATTAAAACAAAATTCAAGATTTAATAAAAAAAGAATTGCAAGTTATAAATCATTTAAAAGTGTGTGTACTACATGCTCCCTGCTGATTTTTTAAAAGGAATTATTACCTCAATACCTGTGTTCCTTCTTGATGTTTGATTTTTTGTTCTTAGTTATTTTGAGACTATGCAGTGGAAACCCTCTATTTTATTCCCTATCTTTGTTGAATGGTCAGCTAAATCCTTCAACAATGTTATTCCAATATAATGTCCATTATCTTCAATGATAAGCCTTGTTGGATGCTTGGATGGTCTTGATAGCCTCATCCTAAAAATCATACCAAGTTTTTAATCGCCTTTACCTTTGGCCATTGATTTCATCAACAATAGAACACTTTGAAATTGACAATATACATCAGTATATATTTTCCAAACATTCATTTGATTACCAATACTATGATTTATTGTAACCTTTAACAAATTGTGATAGAGGTTGAAATTATTTTCAATATAATATTTATGCCATTAATATCAGGTTTAGGAAAATAAAAAAAAAATAAGAATTGCAAACACAAGAGAAGATGCTTACAAAGAAAACTGGTTTCTGAACAGTGTCCATTTCTGATCTTGAAATCTTGTAGTACATCCTCTACTTCTTGGTTGATGAAGGTGTCAATATCAGTGTCAGTCTTGTCTCTCAGGTTCTGTGGTGTTTCCACAAAAGGAAACACTTTTGTCCATATCCACTTGTGGAGGGGTCCCCTTGTGGAGGACAGAGAGTCCCATCTTCATGGGCATCTTCTAGTTTTCTGTTAAGTAGTGCAAAACAGTGTTCTTATGTATCTAGAAATTACTTTTGCTGAATTGCAGACTGCTCTTAATAAAAAAATACATAAATTTTGATAAAAATGGCAATGAATCCAAAAAACATCAGAAAGAAAATCAAATTTATCTCTTTACAGTGGCAAATAAGCAACAATGGGTTTATGATCTGAATAATAAGATTCAAGTGTGGCACATGAAATATGAGAACCAGGTAGGCAATTTGTGTATATATGGTCCAAACAACTGCCATAATATGTGGTACTACTGTGCATTATTTGTCTAAGATTCAATTTCTCTAGAAATGGGATGAGTTCTTTCTGAGTAAAATATTAGTATCTCCCATGACAACTATTGGTTTGCTAACATCCAGTAGTTCTAGCAAAGAAATCATAAAAAGACAGAAATTGTTTATGCTAGACAGTTTAGGTGGACAGTATACAAATACCAATTGAACATTTGTTTCTTTGTATGACATTTTCGCAAGAACAGTCTCAATTCCACATAAATACAACTTCTTCGTATCTGACAATTGAATTTTAGAGTAAACCACTGTTCCGTAAAATGGCCTTTTGGTGTGTGTTGAGGACTCTGCATCAAAGCGATACATCTGAAAGCCTGGCAGTTTGAAATCTTCATTGCTGTCATTTGCATTAAGTCTGCTCTCTGTAATTGCTATAATGTCCCCTGAGATAACATTTTTTTCTGCCAACAAATCATTCATATGCAAGTGTAAGGATCTGCTATTGTGATATATGATTTTGACATCTGTCACAATATTTTCAAGTTTTGGTAAACATGTCTGCAAACATGCCTGATTTCTTAATCGATCCATTTCAAAAACAACACTTGCAGACACAGCTATCTTTCTTTCATTTAAAGACAATATATTAAGATCTTGCAACTTACGTACACGGCTTAGCCCAACATAATGCATGTGTTCGTGTTTCCTTGTTCCCAAGTCTAACACTGTTTGAGTTAATGTGGAACCTTGTGCTTTATGAATAGTTTTGGCACATGCTAATCGTAAAGGAAACTGCCTTCTTGTTACAAGACAAGATTTATGTCTACCTACAGAAAATTTTTTTGACACTTCAAGAATTGGTGTCCAGGACCTGTGTATGTGTTCAGAGTACAAATGAGAATATTTTGATCGAGCCACAGATCCAATTGTTGAATTAGGAAACATTACCCACACTATGCTGCATCTCTCTGAGCCAGTAACTCTGAAATCCAATTTTCTGACTACACATGGGCTACCATTTGTTAAGCCATCTTGAACATCGATGTTGATGCAAATTTCTGAAGCAAGATCTTCCACTAAGTACAATTCTTTATGCAATCCCATTGTTCTGGATGGGTCGTCAGAAACTTGCTGCAAAACTGTCCTTTTCACTTCCTTAGACACGTCTCCACTTACTGTATCTATTGCTGAAATGACACATTTTCTGTCAGAAGCTGCTTTTTCAAAGGCCTCCATGTTGTGGGAATTGACTTTGGCGTTTGTAGTAAATAAATGTGGCATATCAATGATTTTGCTTTTTTCTTCAGGACTGCAAACTCGGGATTTTAATTTGTCAACATCTGAATCAGTATGTAAACCTTCTCGGAGCCTATTTAGCAACTCAGCAAAATCTCTATCATCCTTTTGTCTCATAATTTCTGTTAACTCAAAAAGTTCAAAGAAGTTGGTCCATAAATTCATTGCTAGCGGTCCATACCCTTCACACAGGTCTTCAAATATCCAACCGTCAAACACAGGTTTTAACTGAAATAAATCCCCAATCGCTATAATGCTGATGCCGCCAAATGGCAAATTTTTTGCAAATATTTCCTGCAGTCTAAGGTTAATATAATTGAACATTTTATTTCCTACCATGGAAATCTCATCAATGAATACTAATTTCAAACTGCGGAACTTAACTCTCATAGAGTCTAACTGCTGAACATCAAGAGGTTTGTATTTCAAATTTTGATTTGCTGGTATGCAAAACAGTGAATGAATTGTGTGACCTCCTATGTTATAAGCTGCTTTTCCTGTTGGTGCACATAATACAGCTTTCACTTCATCTGGGTTTTCAGCTAAACATTTTGCATAAAAACGGACAACAGCTTGAAAAATGCATGTGGTCAACAGACTTTTCCCTACACCAGCACCACCTGTTAAGAAACATTGTAGAGGCAAATCACCTGTTTTCACTTTGTGAAGAACATGGTAGAAAAACGTCTTCTGTTTTTCATTCAGGGACCTTGCAAGACTCTTATACTCTGAATCGTCCATTCTGTTTACAGGGATATCATTTTTCTCAACTTGTTTTCTGGTAATACCTAGATCAAAAGCTAAATCATAATCTAATCCTACCACTTCTGGATTGAAACAACCATGAGCAGTACTTATGTTTTCTTCTTCTTGAATGTCTATTTCTTCGTTGTGTTGTATTTCTGAAGTAACAACATAATCTGCTCCATAGAAATGTTCCATGTTGTCTTCAACATCACTTATTATACCTTTGTCAGCCTCATATGCTAATTTGTTCCTCTGTATCACTTCCTTATGCTGTAAAAAGTTGGCCTCAAAATTCTCATGACCTCCTCTAAGGTCTTCCTCTTCTTTTCTCCATGGGTAAAACAGCATAAGTTGTTCTCTAAAATAATTTTCTGAATCTTGATCTTTACTAAAGCGAACAAACCTAATGATCTTTTGAGTTTTTCTTAGTCTCAATACAGAACCATCTTTCATGGGGTACTCATTTTCAGGAGTTTGATTTATTTCATCTGTATCTGAGATATCCAAGTCATCTTCATTTATTTCTTCAAGGTCATCTTCTGGTAAAACATCATCTTCTTCAAGAAGTCGTCTTGCTTTTGGAGGAAATACAACATCAAATTTTGCGACAAAATCTGCTAAGCAGTAATTCCTTAATATTTTTGGTCTTCTCTGGTAACGCTTTATCCAGTTGTCCGATTCAATATTTGTTGAGTTTTCTGGGAGCTCTTGCAGGGTTTCAACTGATTTTAACAAGAATGTTCGATTTTGTGGTTCGCTAGTGTTTATGAAGACAACCCTTCTGCTGCTAGATCGTAGTGGCATTTGCAAGACCAGATATGCTGCTTCTTGAGCACAAATTTCCACATGTGTAAGGAATTTGTTTCCTATTTGTCTTACTTGCTGTTTTAGGGATAAGTTTCCTTTCTTTGCTTCCTCGCAGGCATCATACAGTAAATTAGACATTCCTCTCTGCGACTTTGAAATGTACGATACAATGTATGCTGCACAAGCATATCCATCAAGGATAAACTGTACATCAATATTAGCTTCCCATGACCTCAGTAACATATCATTGTATGCATTAATTCTCACCTCAGAAACACCTCGTCGAAGAAAAACCTTGGGAGACTTGATAGAAGACCTCACTGCCATTATATAGTCTTCCTTTGTCAAATTTAATCTATCTAGGAACTCTTGAAAACTGACATTCGCATCTGAAGGTATATTACTTAAAACTTCACAAATTCTCATGAAGTTCTGCTGCACTGAGGGATTTTCTTCAAAACCTTTTTCATCAAGTGGTTCTAGGATAACAGTTTCTGGCATTGGGGGCAAAGGGAAATTAAAACGGCATACATTCTTTCCTGCTTTTTTACAAGTTCGAGCATGTCTATGTGTTTGATAGTTGACAAGTTCAGGGATATTCTTGTTTTTGCAACAAGTAGAGTGGTTGTCTACAAACTGTTGGATTTCCTCATTTGTTGCTTTTCCATAAACAGGCGCATGTTCAATCCATAGAAGCATGTGTATGTGGGGTGATCCTCTCTGTTGAAATTCAACACGATAGAAAAAGTCCACAATTTTACCCAAGGGATGGCAATTGCCTTTCAGAATGTTAGACATGAAGATTTTAAACCTGTGGTTGAAATACCTAGAGCAAGTGACTGGATCTTTCTTAATGAGCTCACATCTGTCAATCCATGAAAGATCCTCAATGTCTCTGTCATTAACATCTGTATTATTTAATGTTTTGCTCAAAATCTGAATTAAACTTGTCCATTTTGTTTCTGCTGCAGAGAATGAACAAAACCATGTTGGTATACCCAACTGCCTAATCATAGCAAAGACATCTCTTTTGGCACTTTCCCAATATGCTGGTGACCCTCTTAATGTCCTGAGAACTCGAAACCCTTCATTTAATCTGACAATGTTATCAAATGAACTAGAGTTCAAAACCTGACCAACAGTTATTTTTTTCCCATCGTTTTTGCATTTTCTCATCGCAAGTGCTACTTTGTCCTGAATTTGCTTTATCTGTAATTTTTTTAATTTGAAAAAAAGGTTTGGCATTGAACATGCTGCTCTTCTGTCATGACATCTTAGCTCCCATTTGCATATGGAACTGTATGTTACTGATACCTGTCGATCTTTATTTGAAGCACGTCTTTGTCCACAATAAATAGTAGGAAATGCTAGGTATTCTGCATCAGGGTCCTGGTACAAGCCAAGTGGCTTTTGGTTTTCACCAGGAGCAAATGAAAATGTCTTGTTCAAAGACCTCACATCAGTAGGGTGAAGCAGAGTATCTGTGTTTCCTGTAAGTCTATTCTCAAAGTTGGGATCCTCTGTCCATTCATCTTTGTCATTATACATGTACTTAACTCCCTCATTCTCTTCTTTGTTATCATAATTTGATGCATTATTCTCATCTGATTCATTAATTATATCATACCACCTTCTTTGTTCTTCCATGATATCCCAGTTCTCATTTATAGTAATTCCCTCATTTTGAAATAACTCACTGTTTTTCAAAAGCCACCTTAATGCACCCAAGCATTTGTTTGGTCTTATAGCTTCATATAAAACATGGTGACTAAAATTCAATTTTCTTTTCAGTTTCACCTGAATTGTTTCTGTATCTGCCATTGTACGTGGTAAGGACTTTACAGTATCGTTAACATCTGTTGGAACATTCACAACATTTCCACGCAAACTTTTCTGTCCTCCTCTAGGTTTTTCCATTAACTGCATGAAAGGAATTCGGGGGCTGATAAGGCGTTCCTCCATTTCAGTTATTTCTAATTCAGGTGGCTTTCTTGGAAATCCAAATCCATTCACTACAGCAAAAGCAGGCACTTTCCCCATCTTAATGTGTTTATGACAAGTGTGACATACCCACTCAGTTTGTTGTACACTTTTTATACCAAGTAGGCATTTCAGAGCTGTTACTGATGACTTAAGGGAGTCAATTCTTGTGACACCATCCCTAAACCATGTTTGTGTGCAGCAAGAACAAATGAAAGATGGACCTGTGCAAACAATTTTTTTGAAGTTTTCAATGGCAAAATTAATAGAATTTCTATACTCTGATATAATATCACACCTGTCTGAGATATCATTCACCTGGTCCTCATTGCTTATTGCAATCTGATTAAAGTCTTCTGATGAACATGAATTATTTTCTTGTTCATTATGTTTGTGTGTGCAATGCATAGACTTTGCATTTTTTTCTTCATGTTCAACATCTGTGTCCACACATCTATGTTTCTGCATTGAATGTTCATTGTTTCCTAAAATTTCACTTGAACTTTGACATCTTTTACGTGCATTGTGGATTTTCTTGCTCATATTAGATGAGTTCCCAAAAACTGGGTCATAAAGCTTTAGTAATCCCTTTTTTGGTCTGTTTGACAATTTTTTCACAAGAAGTGCATTTGCTTCAAATTGAACATTTGACAAGGGGATACTAGAAAGTGACAAGCAAAGACGTCTTAAGAAATCACACATAGCTTGAAAAGAATTGTGGTTTGTTAAAGTGCATTTTCCCTCTGGATCACAAAGTCCATCTGTACCTCTACTGTGTGAGTCAAATACATAAAAACTCCCATTAATATGTTTCACAGCTATAGAGACTGAGTGGAAAATAAGTATGCCAGTATCAGATTTTGAAAAAAGTAAATTAAAGGAAGATTCTAGTGACATCCCCATTTCAGTACTTTCACTCTGATCCATGTTTCCAAAATATGTCTGCCTGACAACAGAAGAAAAAAATGTCCTTTGAATTTCGATATATCTAGGCAGTTCGGAAACTAGTAAAAATGTGCTAGATTTCTCCAGTAAGTTGTATAAAACATCCCCATACTCTAAAATTGCATGCAGATCATACTTTATGAAGGATGGCAGTCTTTTGAAAAGACAGAAAACAAGAAACACAAAACTGTTTGCCATACATTGCCTCCCTCTTGAAATGACTGAAAAATGCTGGGCACTTTGACTGTAATCAGCTTGCAAAACAAACTGGGGTAGAAATTGCCTTGAACTTGTAATATCCATGGTTTACAAAGAATGAAAAAATCAATACCTTGACTTTAAGTTTGTATTGAAAGATCTATACAATTTTGTTTATGATTATGTTTTAATTATATTGCCAGTAGATATGTGAAAAAAAATCATAGATCAAGAGGGGAAAGAAATTTTATTTTTCCTCAGATCTATATTATAATAAAGGGGCTTTTATCATTAGAGAGATCATAAACTATGTATATAATTTTTTTTTCAAAAACTTGAACAATGAAAATTCATACTCAAGGTATCATCGTTATTACAGGGTTTTCTTTTACAAAAATATTTCATTCAAATTCTCATGAAAATCTTTTTAAAATTTTTGCCATTTATATCTCATAAGTATTCTCCAAGTCTTCTCATAAATAATTTTCCAAGGTTTATTTTTTCACAAATATTCTCCAAGTTTATTCTCCAAGTTTTCTCATGTTCTCCAAGTATATGCCTATAAATATTCTCAGATTTGTCAAATTCTCATATATTCTCAATGCTTTCTCGTAGTTTTGTCAATGTCTGTTTTCAAAAATATTCTTGTATTTCTTCAAAAATATTCTCAAGGTTTGTTCATGGTCATAATGGTCATAAACATGATAACTATTCTCAAAGTTTGCTCACAAACATGATATTTTTTTTTGAAAATGAGTCACAACTGACATATCAAAGCAATAAAATAACCTTATCTTAAAGCAGAAAGGAGCGTGTCTTTAATTTAGCACAACAAACATTGATCATTGTTTTGTTTAAATTCAATATCAGAATTCCAACATGGCCGCTGTAAAGCGTGAGTCTATTCTACATGTGCAATGTCCACTAATCGTTAATGACAACTTGTGTGTAAATAATAACAGTAAAACAGTTACCTCGACATGGATTCGTCTTTGATCTTCGATATAATGTGTACACTTTATGCAAGAATAGACTTCTCTTTGTATCCGGGGCAATATTGTTTCGTAAGCTAATCTCCAACCACTTTTGTGTTTACATTCAGCTGGGTCGGTGTCAAGTGAACTCGTACACAAACCGATTCGTACATACCGCGATTCGTACACAAAAAGTACACTCTCACACAAATCTGAAATCAATTCATACACATTGTTTTTTAAATGCTAATTTACATAAACGTATGTTACTGTTACATGAATTATTACATGGTATTTTAAAATTGGAATCATTATTTTTCTGAAGTAAATTAAGTTTTGGAACACACCTTTATTTAAAAAAATATTTAATAAAGATTTCCAACAAAATAGTTCTGCTACATCTTCTTAAACTTGGTAAGACAAAGAAATGCATGTCATGTAAACTTCCTGTATTGACCAGATTTATTAAAATTTAGGGCGTGCTGATTTTCCTATAAGTAAGTAAGTAAGTAAGTAAGTAAATGGTTTATTATAGTGACATGTGTTATGTACAATTACAACAGTTGTCAACAAATATACATATATTAAGAATTGAAACACCCGGCCCATCGGGCCTATATGTCACTTTAATAATATAACATTCAATAATAAAGATATTACGCATTGCGTTTACTATAAATAATAGATTGTCTGTAAGTATATGCTGAATATATGAATTTTCCAATATGCCTTGGGAAATTTAATAAAAGAAACTTAATTTTGTCTAAATCTGACATATTATTATCAAATGAAGTTGGATTAAATTCGATACTGGTAAAAAAGCTTGCTCTTAGATTTGAATATGATGTACAATGAAGCAAAAAGTGACTTTCATCTTCTACACTATTTGATAAACATAGAGTACAGAGTCTGTCTGATAAAGCCTCCCCCTTATACCGTCCTGTTTCTATCCTTATAGGTAAGACACCGCATCCTATATGCTGTCAAGAATGGAGAGTAATTAATTGGTGCGCAAGCGGCTGGAATGTAGGACAGATAATCAGGCTATACTGAAAATGATTTACCATGTTTACTGCTAGATGGCGATCGCAAAATTAATTCTCCGCAGATTTGGACACAGAATACCAATTATTTTAACAATTTACAAATTTAAGAAGTTACATATTATTATACCCCGCTAGAAAAGTGGCAGGGTACACTGTAGGGTATACTACTCCCGTCCTCGGACCGGTATACCTATATATGTCTTTATCCACAGCTCCTTTCATACTGCTTATGAAATTTAATGAGACTTTCACAAAATCTTAGATAGATATTACAGTTGTCAACCTCCTGTTTTACTTTTTCATCTGGCACTAGCTGCAGACCTGTAGCGTTATGGTTTTATATATAGTATTTGTGTTTGACCATAACGCTACAGATCTCGTAATGCAAAAAAGTTGCAATTTACGGCGAAATATTTTTTGCGCACTTTTGGGAAGAATTTCTCCACTTTCTAGCATTGGTAAATCAACTACCCCAAGTTTAAACACAATCTTTGGTCAAGATCTACAGTTCACTTCCCAGCCATTTAAATTGTTGTCTCTACAGGCAATAAACTCTTGAAGTGAATTTTCAGCTATCTAAAAAATAATTTTAATCAAGTGAGTTTATCACTTGTAGAGACGACTATAAAGGATTGGGAGATGGATAAAATATACAGATTAGTTAAATAATGTGCCTAGAATTAGGGTGTGAATGTAGTTAATTGACCGATGCTGGAAAGTGGTGAAATTCTCCCCAAAAGTGCACAAAAAATATTGCGCCGCAAATTGCACCAGTCCTTTCCTGCATTACAGGATCAGTGGCTTTATGGTCAAAGACAAATATATAAAACCATTTTGCTACAGATCTGCAGCTAATTTGGCACATATTTCAGGTTTCTCAGAGCATGGAGAGGGAAACATGGACTTTGTTATAATAATCATATCATTGAGTTCCCCAAGAACCGGCAACCGGCCAAATCGACCATATCAATGGACAAAGATGCAGCTTTGAAATAACAATTTGTTGTAAGGTCCACAGACATTTTGTTCATAAACCTCATACCCCAGACTTTTACAAGTGATCTCTAACCCTTTACTTTGAAGAAAAAGGAAAACACTGCATATGGGAGGTGGGGTATCATTTAGCAGCTCAGTGATCACAGTACATGGTCTTTGGGTAAACAAGAAGTTACATTTAAGATTATACAATGTATTAATAAAAAAAATTCATAAGCATTGAAATACCGCGATGGAAATTGAAGTAAAGGGTGGAAGATAATATAACCTTTTTATGTTGCCTTTGCAAAAACTGAAATGCATAAAGAAGTAAAATTGACTAACTTTAACATGTTTAATTTCAAGAGGAAAACATATTAACATTTTTATTAAAGCTTTAAAAAATAGAACTAGAGAACTGTAAGACATATTTACATAAAAATAGGAAATGTTACATGTACATAACCTAAATTTAACTTAAACAGCTGGACATATGACAAAATAAGGTAGCTTTAAGAAACTAAGAAAAGGTGGAGAATATATAATACTAAGAACTAAGAAAAGGTGGAGAATATATAATACTAAGAACTAAGAAAAGGTGGAGAATATATAATACTAAGAACTAAGAAAAGGTGGAGAATATATAATATTAAGAACTAAGAAGAGGTGGAGAATATATAATACTAGCCTATGAACTGAATAGTCTAATTCATACAAAAGATTATAAAAAAAGTTTATGTACATTATATGTTGAATTTTTAAAAATGAACATTTTCACTAAGACACACAAACCATACCTGAGATATTTTAATCTCTATCAAATGCAAAGGTTTCAAAAAATGAAGAATGATGAATTTCATTGACACCCTTAAAAAACCATGAAGTCAGGAAATCAAAACCAAAAGCATAAAATGCATAAACTGATCGTTAATGAAATACAGGCACATATATTCACATGTATCTGTAGCCTACTATTCGGCTTTTGTGGGCATAATTTCCAAAGAGGAAACTCTGTCTCCACGTGATGTGCATTTTATTTTTAGAGTTGGTGTAAACATAGCCATTAAATGAGACTCCAAGTCGTTGACTTTTACATCTGGAAGTGCCACTTGTACAAGTTGTTTTGGCAATGTTATGATTGTGTCGTCACATAGCAGGAAAGTTGCTGTATTGTCTTCAATGCATGCTGACATGCACTCATGTGTGGTGGTTTCTGCGGGGCACTCTATTTTCTGCAATAAAAGAAATATCCGAAACATGTATTTGTTGTCAATATTTATATTTACACAAAGACATCTAATAGCCATTCAGGTTAAAATTTACTATACTGTATTCAAAATCAGAATTAAAAATAATATGTATATGAGGTGCAAAATATTAATAAGTGATACTTTTTAATGATTTCCGTGTGTAGAAAAGTGTTAAATAATGATAAGTTTAAAATGGATTTCCTTTCTTATACTTTGATTAAATAAATTTTCCACAAATTTCAATTCAGCATTAATACATGTACATACGCTAATCTTTGTCCTGAAGGTTGTTGAAAGTGACACTTCATTCCGATAAGAATTTGTCACTACGTCAGTTATTTGAACATAATCCCCAGGTCGAACATTTTCTTCTGTATTTTCTCTCCAGAGAGCAACTTTACATCTGGAAGATGTATCTTCAATGTAGATGTTCTTTACTTTTGTCTTCTCTTCTTTGAATAACACTTCTCTCGTTGCTTCTTCCTGTAATTGTTAAATTCAAAATATACAATATTTTAAAATAATAATTTCAATATGGTAATAAACAATAACTTTTTTCCAATGTCATCTACTTGTATGTAAAATCTTAAGGAAAAATTATTAATGATCTTGAGTTGATATATTACTTGTACGCCTCTTTTAACGGACATCACTTTGTATTTTTAGAAATACTTCTTTTTATTTTAATTCTTACAAAGCACTCTCAATATAAATTAAAGCAACTAAAAGAATTATTATGTCAAACATATATAAAACACACCTTACCTGAACCACTTTGCCTCTGACTGTAACCCTTGCTTTAGGTGGAGAGTCAAGTGCCTCTTTCACATTTACCACTGGTGCTGGAGGAGGATTTAATATTTCTCTCCCACGTTGCTGTATGGCTGCTGGGATTTCAAATGCAAAAGGTGCACAAGTAAATACTTTCGTGTTTGATGTTACAACTACTCCATCCGTTTTCTTGATGACATTTCGTAAAATGAGGTACTGTCCTTCTTTAAATCTAGGAAACTTTGTTGAGTCATAGATCGTGCACTTTACTGCTTTTGAGTGATCCACAACAGCAGCATTCATTAGACTTTTGCTTTCATTTTTGTCGTTTCTATAGTTCACTACATCGGTGATGGCAACAACTTGAATCTTTAAACTTTTGGTATAAGGAACCTGTCCACTTTGAGTCATCAGATCCTCTAAGGAAATTGTGGTTGCCTAAAAAACAGTTGTTTTCAAGTGTTATTTATAATGTAATTGAAGGTAGATTTGGTGTTTCTTATTTATCACTTTTTAAAGATCAATTATCCTACATTCTCCAAGTCATTATTCACAATTCCATCTCCCAATTTATTATTATTTTTTAAAACAAATTTCCAATAAAAGTATACTTAACAAATCTTTCTAGAATTATACTAGTATATGTGCAAAACAATGTACACCCTAATATGTCTATTCAAAGTTTGCAAACCATACCCGCTTTTAAACTCTTTTAATTTACAAAATCTGCCTCTTATTACACTTATTTATAAGTCTTGTTTTTAAACTGTCATCAGATAACAGGTATAAATATGCTGAAAAGATGCATATACTTTACCAATTAATTTTTTTCAACAAGCTCAAAATAAGCCTATTGAATTTCTAGAGGATGACTGCGAAAACAATTTACACCTATGTGCAAAACATGTACACCCTAATATGTCTAATGATTCAAAGTTGGCAAGATTACCGGTATGTAAAGTGATAAAAATTACTTTAATATTTAGATTGGAATTAAAAACATACATACCATGCTAGCTTTCTACTTCTCCAACGCTTGGTGTAAAATGATCACAATGGAGACGCCAATTAACGAAGTGTCAAAAGTTGCAAGAGGGTGGAGACTCTGAGGCCAGAGAATGCAAGTTGTGGAACTTTTTATAAATTTCAACACTAGTCTATTAAATCTGTCATTTCAATTTCCGACAAAATTGGCTAGGTTTGTTATTCAAAGAACAATCGATAATTGATTCTGACAGAGGTACAGATAGAGAGGGTTCTGTATAATAATTATGCTAGCCATTTCCAATCTTTTAACAACAAATTTAGATTCTGAGTCTTGAAACTGGAAATTAAAATGACAGATTGTAAATATTTCATGTTAAAATTGACATAAAAATCTCCACCTCTTGTGACCTCCGACAATCTAGAGAACGGAAAGCGCTGGAGAGAGAGAGGGGTTAATTGGCAGAAATATTTTATGACTGCGAAGATGTCAACAAATGAATAGCTTGATAAATCTGTTAGAAAACAGATGATGAATGAAATTCAGTAACAAACTAAGGTCAGATTTATCAGCGACTCTGCAATGCTAATCTTTAAACTTAAAGTCTTAACAGATTTAATAAAATATTATTTAGCTGAAAAATATACAATGGACTGGTAAAGGAGAAATAGTCTTCAATTTCAAATTTTCCCGATTATTAATAACAAAAAAAAAAAAAAAAAAAAAATACACTCAAAAAATAATGTGTTCATATACTAATATCTGTTCATCAATTAGATTACATATTTTGTTTAGAAAGCTATTATAGTATTGTTGACTATTTTAAAGCTGAAATGTTAATTACCAAGAATTGCAAAATAACATGGAACAAAGAAATACAAACGACCCTTTTTAAAAAAAAAAAAAAAATTGTTTGAACATAAAAAAGGTAGCAAATTGAGACACGATCTTCCTCCTAGCAGCACAATGTTTGATATCAGATTAATCTGTCGAGACTTCTATATGATTAAACCGTCAAAAATCAAGGTACGCCCGCAAGAACAGTCGTAAATTTGACCTCTGTTTAGAATGTTCCACATTTACTCAGCTCTTTTATTGCCCCATTTACTGACAGTTTACAATCAATATTATCTATATCACTTCATTTGTTGATGTCTTTCATAATTTTTTCTTTTATTCTTTCAATTCAATAAGATAAAAATAATGCAATATTCACATAATTTCAATGCGAATGGTTGGCCTACATGTACGTACAAGAGTTCATTTATGTAAACAATACACACATGGCGATCGGATGCAGTAAGGACTTCTATCATTGTTCTATAATTAGACGTGATCTTATCAAGCTTGGATATCGCACCGAGAACTGCACTCAGTAATCTGTTTTGGTTTCCCCGAGACACATTTAATTCTACATTTTAATTGAAAATTTACGTCAGCGAGAGAGTTTTTATCAGCGAATGAGCGCTGCCTGTAGGGTTCTTTACATTACTGATCACCTGTCTGTACTCTGTATGATGCGCATATTGAAAATCTACGTCAGCGATAATTTTTATCAGCCAATGAGCGCCTCCAACAGCGCACTCTTAACATTACTGATCACCTGTCTGTATACAGCGCACAGGCAAGCCAGTTTACCAAAGTCAACGTGATTTGCCGCTAGATGGCGATCGCATTTTCCCTTCCGCCGCAGATGTGCGGTACCAATAGAGCGGAGGCTAAGCCTCCGTCTAAAAAGTACAACTACCACATAAGCACTGATCGAATATATTAAAAATAAACTACAAGTAATGGGGTTATCTATTTATTTTACAAACCGAAAGTAGGGACTGGTCTTGGTGATTTCCTGCAGTTGAAGATTCTCCCGGCCGGTGACATTCAACGTATGTATGTTCTATACAGTTAAATTTATTTGATTGACATAATGTTCGTACTTTATTATTGTTATACACTTGAAAATATTATTAAACGTGTATACTGAAATATGGTAGGATATTAAGAACCCGTTTTATACAAAAGAGCAATATTTACACAGATTAATATATGTAAACTGGTCATTGTTTGAATATTGAACAACAGAAAGATATATACATGAATCACTGTGTTTTACAGTTTTGTTTTTTTTTTAATATAGTCGTTTTACCGGTAACGAATATTTGCCAGTATTGCCGCGGAATATTTTTTTATTTAAACATGTTAAATTTTCTACAAAATCGTAGTGACGGGTTTTAAAAATCTTACTAGGTAAATACATTAAAAGGATGAATATTCTACCCCTTGTTGTGTTTTTGTAATATCTGCATCATTATGTCCCACAGTTTTTACAATTTGAAACAATGACCTAGATTTTAACACGCGGAAGTACATGTCAAAGAAAACGAAAGTGCGTATTAAAGAATTTTGTCGAAATAAATTTTTCCGTTATGTTATCAATCCAGATTGAGTATGTAATCAATATTTAGTGTATATATATAACAAGATAGAATATTAAGTTAAACAACAATTGACTTTTGAATGAAATTTTAACATCCAAACTAACAACGTGTTGTTTTTGTTACGAATCACGGTTTTTAAAAAACAACAACGCCGTTTTACGAGATGCAAGAACAGGAAAAGCTGACAAAAGTGAATATACCGTTATAATAATTTACAAGCAAAAATATATTACATGAAAATTACGTGTGACAAATACATGAAATAGTTGATTTTATTTTTACAACTCATGTCGCTTAAAGTCTCTCATAAAATGATACATTTTTCATATTGTTTAGTTTTAGAAAAAATCATTTAAATCAGCAAGTAATGCTTATATACTTTATGTAGAATCTTCCTTGAGGTATATTTCTACAATATTTTCGACCAACCGGTTTTATTTATTAAGTCAGCAACAATAGAGGGCACTTGATTCGATACTGAAAAATCGATTCGAAACTAGAAAAATGGAGGAGGGGGTGTTATTTTTGACAGCTCTGTACCTGTACCATTCATATTTTGGAAATTTTGGTACCACCTATTTGAAAAGCTTGGAAATACAAATTTAAAACAACAACAAAGAAAATTTGGAAATTCAAAGATGTGAGTTGAGTTTAAGACGTAACTAGAAACCGATTCGTTACTGGTAAAATGAATGTACATACATGAATGAGAAATACGACAATACAAAGATCATGAAGACGTCTTTTCTACTTTCATGTACACATTACCTTATAATTTTAGAATATAGATAGAAATGGATCATTTACCTCGCCTGTCAGAGTCTGTGTATGTTGGACTGTGTCGTGAAGTAGGGAGTCCTACAGAAGTGAGGATCAGGAGAGAAGTGATGGACACTATGGAGGCGGTGAAGAAACCTGTGAACATCATGAAAGGATTTGACAAAATGAGAAGTGGGAGTACACGTGAGGGATATAGACAGAGTACTTCAGATGCTGACTGGATGTTCTGGCCTCCAGACCACAAGGTGATATGTGATCTCTCCCAGATCAGTCTCTACCGTATTCCACAACACACAGTGATTCTGATGGAGTGTGATGATCTATCACCGGGGTTTACCAGACTTAATCTGATGAGTCCATCAAATAGAGAAAAAGTCAGATCCTCCTGTGTAGAGATCAATAATAACGTGTATATATCTAGTACATTATTCCGTAATAATTATTTAGAGTTTTTACAGACCTATAATTTACCTTCGTCTCCCTGGTCTCACGGACCCTGTGCTACATTTTACCATCAAATTTTGTTAGAATTGGAATCGGATTATGCATTCTGTTTCCGATCCTATCACTGGCCGGCAATTGCTCTACCTTGGATACAAAGATGTCGTCAACAGGGTTGGCCATCCGAGCTAGTTTTATCAGATATTTTAAGCTCAGGATTCCATGTTGTTCCTATCGGCAGCACACCTGACAGCATACAAGAGTGGAGAATTTCATTCTCCTTGGCGGAACAAAAATTAGTTTATTCAATGAATCACACTCAGTTTTTATCTTACGGTCTTTTAAAAATCTTTCTTAAGGAAGTAATTAATGTTAATGGAAGTTCACCCGTATTATGTTCATATTTCTTAAAAACTGCTTTATTTTGGTTAATTCAGACTAACAATTCCTTAAATTGGACTCCTGAAAACTTATTGCTGTGTTTCTGGCAATGCTTTAAATTATTGATATTTTGGGTATTTACTGGAGAATGTCCAAACTTTTTTATTCCACAAAACAACATGTTCCGATTGAAATTAACTGGATCCATACAAACATTACTGTTCAATAAGTTGAATGAATTGTATTGCAAGGGTATATCAAGTCTACTACTGAGTGAAACGTTAAGACCGTTCCTCAGTCAAGCCATTTTATACAGAGCATTGAGAGTCTGTACTGACGAGAGCAGTATTATTACTAACGCTGAACTTGAAATTAATTTATTTAAGGAATTCTATGTATATAACCATATGGTTTTAAGTGTTGTAGAATTTGCAGCTCTCATAAAGAAAATTGAAATAGAGATAAGAAAAAGGTTGACGTCATACCAGGAGGCTACATTACAATTAATGACATCAAAGATATTACGTAGCACTGCAATGCTGAAACTGTGTGATGTATATCAACTTAAAACTCGTAATAAGGTTTATTACAAAGCTAGTAACGTATCCCGATTGTTAAAACTGTCATGCACATTAGGTTGTGCCTCAGATATTCTATATCTTGCTATGTATTACTACAAAACGTGTAGATATGAAGAGTCACTTAGTTGTTTACAGAAAGCACAGAACAGAATGACAAAGCCATACATTATATACCACGGTCATGTTTATTTAGATATATATAGACGTTGCATGATTGAAATGTCTCTGTCTCGTAAAATGAAGATTGCTTTAGTGACAGATATTGTGTTACACAGTGAGTACACATACATTGATGAACTTATTCTAGAGCAGAGGACCAATAACGAGAATGGTGAACTATCATTATATATCCCACCCTTAGTGATGTTACATATGATGTTTACATTGAATCATCACAGACTTGGTGACAGAATGAGGTCACAACAATCTCTACAGGATCTACAGAATCTGCTGCTCTATGAAGACGGGGTTTATGTACTTCCTCTTGTCAGAGATATATCGTGGCAAATACTAGGAATTTGTCAACAAATCTGTGGAGATTTCCAGGGAGCTCTAGAATCTTATCAACATTCGTTACAAGAAGATCCTTTTAACAAGATTCAGGAAGCAACACTATATAGAATTAACACACTTTATGAAGATTGATGCATTAAAAAACCTCTATATAACTTATATCGAAGTGGTTTTTGTGGCGCCAGCTTTTACAGTCATATAAATATTAATTGAAAGATTTGTTTTAATGTTTAACAAATTACTTATTATTTTTTTTATATTGAATGATGTTCGTTATCTCTATATAGTTCTCCCATAGTTTTCAATTGTATTTTTAATTGCTCGTAACTTTCTACTATTATTTTTCACTATTAATGTGTTGAACATAATAAATTTGAATCTACGTACATGTGTTGTGAAAACTTCACTTGATAAGCAATGTTAATCTTTGATTTCAGTATCAATGCATGAAATGAAAATAAAAGCAAATTCTTTATTTTTGTGTTGATATACATATATTTTATTTAAAGAACGGATGTGTAGTGAAAAGTAAAATATATAAAAGACAGGTATTAAGAATTGAGTAACATTTAATAAGATATTTTTGATTGATTATTTAGAGGTTTAAGTAGTTTTACACAAATATAAATAATTATATTGATGCTACGAATAAAGAGAAACTCTAATTATAAAAAAAAAATATATATGTTCCCCTCACATTTCTTAAACACAAAGGTATCAAATGATGTATAGATCGGAAAATGTCTTTTAACTGTCTTTGGTATTGTATGTGTCTTTTCTCGAGATTAGTTTTCCTAACAGAAGGTTATCAGTCTTAAATGTGTCATTTTATCCCCCCCCCCCTTTATGTTGAATGAGATATTTAAGAAAACTTATCAACAATATTTAAATGGCAATAGATCTAAGGCTTTGCGTTTTCTTGTCTTTTAATGTGAAAACGATTGAATTTCGATTTACTTTTCATTTTTATTCCGTCAAATGTATTCATTTTAGCTTGATCCCCCCCCCCATATAACCTAGCCCCATTTTTTTTATAGTTAACCCCCCAAGAAAACCCTCTTCTCGGGGAAACTTTCCCTTTATATACACTTATATAGTTTCAATATCAGAAAAAAAAATAAAAATCGACGCTCTATATACAGTCAATTCTCGAATTATCGCCATTCGATTCATCGCCATTTACGCAATACCGCCATGATTTCCCAAGAACGTTTTTCCTGCTATATAAAATTCTATTTATAACGCCAAATTCGCATATCACCATCCGCCACCCTGTTTTGAAAACAAACGTCCATTTTTAAGTGTCAATTATCTCGATAATACCCTAACAAAAAAAAACTATAGTTAACTATAGTTAATTATAGTTAACTATAGTTAACTATAGTTTACTATAGTTAACTATAGTTTACTTTAGTTAACTATAGTAAATCAAAGTGTCAAAGTTTTCGCCAAAGTTTTTCAAAGTGTCAAAGTTTTCGATAATTTTTTTCAAAGTGTCAAAGTTTTCGCCAAAGTTTTTCAAACTGTCAAAGTTTTCGCCAAAGTTTTTCAAAGTGTCAAAGTTTTTGCCAAAGTTTTTCAAAGTATTAAAGTTTTTGCCAAAGTTTTTCAAAGTGTCAAAGTTTTCGCCAAAGTTTTTCAAAGTGTCAAAGTTTTCAATAAAGTTTTTCAAAGTGTAACTATAGTTAACTGTAGTATTTTTTTGTTAGGGTACCGCCACAGGTGCATGTGGTCAGTGAAGCGCGGCTAATTGGTAGACGCTATCTCTATTGTAAAGCTCTATCTTGATCCCCCCCAAAAGCCAAACCCCATTTTTTCTGATTTTAACCCCCCAAGAAAACACTCTTCCTGGGGAAACTTCCCCTTTATGTACACTTATATAGTTTCAATAACATGATAATAAAATTCGTCTCCCTACATATACTCCTGTTATTTGCAACGCCTAATTCTGTCAAATGTCTTTTGTTTATCTTGATCCCCCCCAAAAAAAAGCCAAGCCCCATTTTTTCTGATATTAACCCCCCAAGAAAACCCTCTTCCCGGGGAAACTTCCCCTTTATGTACACTCATATAGTTTCTATAACAGGAAAATAAAATTTGTCGCCCTATATATACTCCTGTTATTTGCAACGCTCTATGGAGAAATCGGTCATTTTGCTATGGAGCGCTGCGTGCAACGCATGCAAAATAAAATAGCGCTTTATTCCGTCAAATGTCTTTATTTTTTCCTTGACCCCCCCCCCACCCCCAAAAAAAGCCAAGCCCCAATTTTCTTATATTAACCCCCCAAGAAAACCCTCTTTCCGGGGAAACTTCCCCTTTATGTATGTACACGTATATATAGTTTTATAACAGGGAAAAAAATCGTCGCCCTATATATACTCCTGTTATTGGAAACGCTCTATGGAGAGATCGATCATTTTACTAAGGAGCGTTGCATGCAACGTTTTCCAGAATCAGAGAATTAATATGATATATCTTTCATACTTGTATTTTTAATTAGTCTTAGACGCCTTAAAATATTTCTTTATTATTTGCATTATTTTCCTCAAATATACCTGAATGAATTTCATATCAAAAGGATCGGGTATGTTACTTTTATTATTTTCTGTGGTATAAACTTAAATGCAACGCGTCGCAAATAACAGGATATAACTGAAATGATATTGTAATAAGTTAAAGTTAATTTTTATTCTTAAGATTTCTTTCTGAAAAATTTGTAATATACACTGGAATGGATCACATACCTCACCTGTCAGATGCTATGTATGTAGGACTGTGTCGTAAAATAGGGAGTCTTTCAGAAGTGAGGATCAGGAGAGAAGTTATGGACATTGTGGAGGTTGTGGATAGACCTGTGAACATCATGTGTGGATTTGATATTATGAAAAGTGGGAGTACCTGTGAAGAATTCAGACAGATCAGACAGCTTTAACCATTTCTTCTTTTAACAGTTCTTTTAATAGTTCGGAGGCTATGGTCATATCCAACTGGTTATTGTTTATCGTTGTTCCAAGTTAGTTTTTTTTCCATATTTGGGACTTTTTATTAATAAATTCGGAAACCATATTCCTCGTTACTTTTGACTTTAAATATGTATCATCAGGAAGAGTCCTTTTCTACTTCCGGTCAATGTCACCACTCACTTCCCCTCACAACATTCCCTCTTGTCCGATCAACGGTACATCTTTAAGACCCAAACTACGCGGTTATAATTATTCCCTGTGTTATAAAGTGACGTTTCAATATTCAAGGATAAAGAAATTCTGTTTTTATTTTCTTTTTTAAACGAAGATTGGAAATGTTGGCAAAAAGGAAGTATAATGTGTCTATTTGTCTCATTGTCGATCATTTTCTTTGTTTATAATTGTTATATACCTTGACGAAAGCATTGTTTGCTTATGGGCAAATTTACAAACTAAAAATATCCCTGCATTTTTTTTTTGCTTCAAATAACAGTCTCATTGTAAGAAATAAAAAAAAAGATCTGTGCCGTTTTCTGTTTTCTTTCGGGCATATATATAAGACCCCGGGATCGTGAAGCATCTTTATCAAATAATGTAAATGGCGCTGAAATTAGTAATAAGGTTTGCCTTTTAAATGAAAATGTTTTCGAATTTTGTATTATGCATCAGCTGCAATCGACAAATTAAATTAAAAAAAATCATTTAACACATTTTATTATTGGAATTTTGACTCATGTCTAAGTCGGTTTCGTGATCCCTTGGCAAGGATTAGAGAGAGGAATTTCTCAAAAAAGTTTAAGAAACATAAATTAGTTGATTGATTAATTAAACTGAGATAAAGATGGACCCTGCATGTAGGGTTCTTTATATTTTAAATACATACTACAAATAATTATCCATCTTATACATTTAAAATTTAATTCGTATGGCGTATTATCGTCAAATCAGACTCAATATGTACATAAATCTGATTTTGATTCCATTGTGAGAAATAAAGAGAGCTTATGTTTTTGTCTGTTTTCATTCGGACTGATATAAAAGGATAGAGTTTTGGAGAACCTTATTCAAAATAAACTATAGTGCCTTGGGAGAATACATGCAACAATCATGTTAATTATATGATTTTTTTCTAAAATATTGTCCCTTCTATTTTCTAAGGATCAAAAATCTATTAAAAATTATATTTTACGAAGCAATGAATGTCGACAATATACCGGTATATTTTTGAGTTATGTGATAGTCAAGTACCGGAACACGTATTCTAAAGTTGTTTACCATAAAACTGATTCGAATTTCCGGAGAGCGTGTAATAAAATTGTTGAATAATTCTAGTTCAAAACATTGCTAAACAAGGCTAATTATTATATGTAATATACACCTACAGGTACCCTGAAGTATTCCAAATAATGAACAAAATACCATTTAACTAAAAGAAATAAAAAAATAAAGTTCCTTGTGTTAAGAAGTATAGAAGTTATACGAGGAAATATTGATTTGTTAAAAGTAAGCAACGGGTAACGCGGGGGAGTCGCTAAAAAGTATGGGGGAGTCATTTTCATCATATGGGGGAGTAGATTTTGACCGCTTCGGAGTCGGAAGAGATGTGGGTCAAGTCTTTTTTCGGTATATGTGTTGTCTGGAACAGTTAACTGGCATACAATTTTTTCCCATGGCTTCCTTTTCCATGCAATCGAATCCCGTAATAGTGCCATCATATGATAAAATAAATGTTGCTTTTATCAATGAAAATTATTATTTAATCGCCTTTTTGGCTTGGTCAATAATGTTCTTCTCATTTGTTCATATCATTTTGCTGAGAGAAGAAAAAAAAAACATACAGTAAAGCTTTGTTTTAGTAAAATCACTTTCAAAGAATTACGCTTATAATAAAAAATTTCTATTCTCAATGGGTTTATACAAACTGCTAATTGAACGCATATAACGAATTATGTTTAAAACTAAGCAAAGTCGCCCTACCTTGCACTTCGATATACGATCTTTTTACTGTTGCTGTATGGAGAAGGATATGGAGATAACGAACAGTATTCAAACTCAAAGTCCATAAAACAATACAAAATAAAAGCAGGGCAAACACAGACCTCCGAATCATCCACGGTGGGATCGGGTGCCATGGAGCCTAGAGTACCCCTGCTGACCGTTCCACCCGCCATGTGTTCCTTGTCATGATCGTGAAATAACGGAAAAATCTGTCGTCAATTCAGTGTATAAATAGACCCTCAATTAGTATGAAAAAGGTCAGTAATCATTTGATTCAATTATAAAT